AAGAAATAAAATACTTAATTAATCTTCTTTTTTCTTGCCATTGGGTTTCAAAGAGAGTTAACCCTAATTTTTTTATAATACTAATAGTAATGCATTTAATAATTTTAATTTAATTAAATAATGCACCAAAGAACATAGACTAAAAACCAGACAATTTCCTCTAACTCTCAAACTTTTTATGGCTTTCTAACTATACGACAAGAGCCGTTACAAATTCATCCAAGCTAGCTGTTAACTTTCTCACCAGAATGAATCTTGTACTCTGAATGAAATTGAAGCTCTTCTGTTCAGAAGACAATGTTATGCAATACGTCATTTGATAGATGAAAACCTTGACTTTCTAATGGTTATAGGTAATATATAATGAAATTGAGAGAACTATCAACAAATTGTGAAAGAGTGGATGTGGCAGTAGGGGGGTCTGATTTAGTATTTGATAGATCTGTAACCAAATAAAATTGAAGATTATAAGAATTATGGTTTGTCTGAGCAATAACGATGTTTGAGAGTAATTTACATTTAGATTTGTAACTTTTCGAGGGTGACAGATAAAATAGGGATGATGACATGCTAAAACAAAATGGGTCACACTAGTGGAAATTCAGGATTTTTTTTATATTCCCTTGTAGAATTAAGAACTAAAACTTGTATACTATTAACATATGGATTATTTTATGCTATTCTAATTGATATAACATAAACAGAAAGTAGTTTAATAAAATTTTGAATGCAAGACACTAAAACCTTGTGTCATGCACAATAAAGGATACCCGGGGCGATAAGGTTTAGAATATCTATGAATGCAAGTTAACTGTAACTAAAAAAAGCAGATTAAATCTGTACTTATAGTTTACAAAACTGTTGATTTTAACAAGTAATAGAATTTTAATGAAATGTTTTGTGATATTAGGTTTGTGTGTGATAATTGTCTAAAAGTGCAAGGGAAAAAGAGAAAAGAAAACAAGTACACAAGCAAAAGTAAGTTATTAGATTTTAGTTAAACCTTTATTTTTGAGAAGTTCAAGTTTAAGTGAGCATTCAGTTATAGGAAAGTATTTTTTATGAGGGTTTATGTAATTTTTGTTTACTCTAAATTGTTTGTGGAGCTGGCTTAGCTGTATTATTGTTTTTAACTTTGTAGTGAAAAAATAATACTGTGTATTTTATTATGATATTGTGATGTTTGGGTAAGGTTTTTTTTTATATATAATGTTATAATGCTATTAATTGTAGCCTAATTTCTTGTAGAGGTCAAAGGGACTGTAAGGTGAATTAATAAATAACATTGATCTCAGTAATGATTAACTAACTTTTCTGAAGTTAAAATTGGTCAAGTTTACAGTTCAAGGCCAAATTTAGTGACCAAAGTCAGAGAAAAGTGAACATTTTTTATACTAAAATTTATGAACAGATTATACTTGCAGTGCAGTTGACATAGATGATGGAGATTTAATACTGTTCTTATAATTAGCTTTGGGTGTTAGCTTCATACATACTACAAGCAAGAAAAACATTTGGTTATGATTTTAGATTTAAGAAGGATATGTTATAATACAATGTAATCTAACTAAAACAAATTGTATGTTCAAGAGGTTGAGAGAAAAGGTGTTTGTTTGTTTGTGTATGGCATATAACTATTTCAAACTGTTCATTGAACTGTACAGTTTATGGAATCCACACAGGACTGTTGATAATACATTCACCTATATTGATTTTGTTTATATATGCATGATAGTAAACAACACCATAGATAGAAAGAATTTGGTAAATCATATATTAAAAAAAACAACATATACAACCCTAGTAATTTCACCAAGCCCTCAAGTGGAAAATATTTCTTTTTTTGTTGTTGTATGTGTGTTACAAGTTTGGGATTAGGATTTGAAAAAAGTAAAAAGATCAAATAAGTATAATTTCTTTAAAGAAGTATATTATGAGGACTTATTAGTCTTTGTTGTGAAGATAAAAGTCATTTTAAAACAGGTATGGTGTCTGAACTTCATTATTTTGTATGTAGGATTGCAACAAACAAAGCTTGGAAATTACATTGAAAATCGAGTGAACAATTACCTGAAGAAAAAAGAAATTTGTGGGGTTGAAGTTACAATCAGAGTGGTGGCAAGTGGAGACAAAATCATGGACGTAAAGGCAGGAATGAGAAGCAGGTGTGTATATATAAATGATATATTGGTACACTTTAGTTTGTTGTTGAATTACTTTGTTCTCTATTATATTAATCTGTAATAATGTATTCTTTCTTCGGTATTATGTTTATTATATATTCTTGGCACCACTGAAATCTTTGTTTATTGTTAAAGTGATTAACACTTGCTTTTGCATAATTTTTTTATGTAATTCACACTTTTATTCCAGATACGTAGAAACTGGACAATTACCAGAACAGTTTCCTTATCGAACCAAGGCCCTTTTTGCATTTGAAGAAATAGATGGGGTTGAGGTCTGTTTCTTTGGTATGCACGTCCAGGAGTATGGGTCTGAAAGTCCCATGCCAAACACGAGGTAAGATCGTTTAATTGTGATTGATAAACATAAGATGAAAGTATTAATTCTGGTCAAGTTAACCCTTTCGAGACGGGTCACGGGTGAAAGGCCATGTCATCACATTTGTTGACTCTCATTCAAAATTTTATTGAACTACTATCTCATGAATTTATGTCAATAACTTTGGTATCAAACTGTAGATTATAATTCAAATTTTAGTACTATATACTCGATGTCTTAAAAGCAGATATTAAAAAACACAGATAAACATCGATTTTTGTATGTCACATGGTATGTTGAATACAGTACTGGTTCAAATTAGATGTTTGTGAAGTCTATACTTTTGTATGATTAGAAACTCGAATTACCATTTGGTGCCATTTCTTTTGAACCAATTTTTCAAAAAGGTAGGATGTCTTTAGTCTGCTTGAAATTTCATATTTTTTAAGACTAAATACATCTTAGATACTAAGCTTTATAAATAATAGTGGAATTCTATGGTGTTAATGTAGTAATTTATGATTTTTCAGACATTCAAATGTGTATATAAAACCTTAGAAGAATATTTTGTTTCATATCCTCCACATGCAAAATTTTTAAAGGCTTAGCAACCGAATACAAAGGTTGTAACGGGAAGAGATAATTGTTTGCTTTACTTCTTTGTTTACTGTTCTATGTTTTAGGGAAAATATTTTTAGCAATAATCTATATACATATATAATGTATAATAATGAAAATGTGACTGTATTTTACAAAATACTAGCCTACTAAAACACAGCCAAGACAAGTTACATTGTGCAGACCAAAGATCAGTTTTATGTTATTTGATACGGTAACATGAGTGCACGTAAGCCACTAATTATACCACTCTCGTGTCTCTAAAGCACCAAGAACTGCTAGAAACTTAGATAAAACAAATATTAAATGTGAATTAGATGATTAATGAAATACATTAGTACAGGTTTATTAGTACAGTATAAATGAAAAAGGTTTATTAGTTACTGTACTTACAAAGAATGTTGCAGTAGTAAGTGGCAAATTTTAGAATTTTTCTGGAATTGTAGAGCTAATGACTCCATTCCATCACTCCGACGTTGTTGAAACCATTCCATCATCACTCGATCATGCTCGGTACTCTTACCATCTTTCATAGTTTTTCTAATGCTCATTTGCTTCTTGCAATCACTGTCTGCAAAGAATTTCATTATTTTGTCTCTTTGCTTCCTTATATTGTAAACAGTTGATGAACCAATACCATACGTATCACACAGTTTCCACACGGAAACACCACGGTCAAGTTGTTTCAACAGTTTTATCATGTCTTGTATCGATATGGACTTGTGCTTACTCTTGACACCACGACTGTCACTTGGACCTTGCTTAGAAGCCATAGCTATGGTTAAATGTAAGCAAAATAAGCTTAAAATCACACAAAACGGACCTTGCTTAGAAGCCATAGCTATGGTTAAATGTAAGCAAAATAAGCTTAGAATCACACAAAACGGACCTTGCTTAGAAGCCATAGCTATGGTTAAATGTAAGCAAAATAAGCTTAGAATCACACAAAACAGACCTTGCTTAGAAGCCATAGCTATGGTTAAATGTAAGCAAAATAAGCTTAGAATCACACAAAACGGACCTTGCTTAGAATCACACAAAACAGACCTTGCTTAGAAGCCATAGCTATCGTTAAATGTAAGCAAAATAAGCTTAGAATCACACAAAACGGACCTTGCTTAGAATCACACAAAACAGACCTTGCTTAGAAGCCATAGCTATGGTTAAATGTAAGCAAAATAAGCCTAGAATTACACAAAACCGAAAGATCACCACCACCAACTGCAGATGTAAACAATTAACTCTTTTGGGACGGGGGCACATGACGATATCTTTAAATTCTCTCTGTTGACAAAAATACAAAATTTAATTAAACAACTTTCTTTAAATATTTTTTCAGAAAATTATTATTTTATGGTATGTTATATTTAGAATTTTCATACACTGTTATCAACATTCTGTGTTGTAAAAAATTGAAGAAAAAATCAAAACTAAATATTTGTATCTTGTTAAACTACATATTCTTGGCAAGATTCATGAAAAAATTCAAGCAATTTCAAGTGCGCGCTCATAATTTTTTATGGATTAAATGAGGTGCTGGACCATCAGTTGCCAGAAAATCAGTAGTGTACTGTATATAAATGTATAATGTTATGAAATATAAGCTATTTAGTCTAAACATTTATGTTTTCTAGAATGAAAGAGACATAATTTATAGTTATTTCCTTTTTTCTTTTTATAGTGGTTTCGAGATCGGCCATATCTATCGAACCCGTACAGAGATTAATTACTGAAAATAACAGATAAAATATAAAGTTTTTTCTTAAGAAATGTTGGATAACTATCTCAACATTATAAAGATTTCACATGTGAAAGTTCAGAATTTTCTGATGCATAAAAGTATTTTTAATCTTAAAATGAATATTACTTTGCATGATAGATAGGCAACATGCAAAAAAAAAAAAATAGACACGAGAAAAACATTGATTTACAAACCTTAAGACTTAATAAAAGTATTTAATATTATGCATATGAAAGCATTGTAGTGTTTACTGATAATCTGTCAGATTTCATTAAAATTCGCTTACTAATTTAAAAGTTATTTCATGAAAACTATAACAAGCATAAAATAATTATAAGGTCAGTCCCAGGGACCGAGCCCATGCTGAAAGTTTTAAAGGTATGACACTGTTTTGTTACAACTAATGACTGGTCATGTTATCTATTTTTTTTGTATGTATTGTTATTTGGTTTGGTTTTGAAGTGAAATTTACAAAACATCAGAATTATTCCTTTCCTTCAAACTTAAGAAGTTTGTGATATTCTTACAAGATCCAGTGAAGTTTTATATTGTTATAAAGCTGAGGAGTTTTGATGAACTTAAACTACATAATACATCTTTCTCTTGCCAGGAGGGTATACATAGCTTATCTGGATAGTGTACATTTCTTTCGACCGAAACAGTTCAGGACAGCAGTTTACCATGAGATTCTTCTGGGATACTTGGACTATGTAAAGCAGTTAGGGTAAGGTCTAAAGTTGAGAAATTTAATTATGTTAAAGGTCTATGTCTTTATCATTGAATTTTATTTTTAATAACATAAAGAAGGTTAGTTTTTAAATATAGAAACTGGTCAAATATGAGCAACTATAAAGCAAGTTGAATTATTACTATATAGAGGTTAAAAATTGGTATAATAAATATTTAGTTGTATTAAACTTAAGCACAGTGGAATTACAACAAGTTTAATTCCCAAACAAGGTATATGTTATATAAACCACCATTTGATTCTGATGTTTCTTATGATTTAATTTACCATTCTGTTTGTGTCCACAGTTGCACGTACAGTGGATGTGTGTTGACACAACTGAATGTTAAACTAAACCTTTTTTTCTTTGTGTTCTGTGGGAGTGTATTTGTAAAGATAAATAAGATACTTGGTGCAAGTTTGAACTTTAATAAATATATGGTGGATTCCATATATATGTTGCTATTCTGTGTTTATTCTTATGTGGTGTGGTTTTGGTCAGAATTATTTGTTTACATTCAGTTATAGAAATAGTTTTGTTGCTTCTTATGTGGAGAATACTATTGAAATTTAAGCTGAAAGGGGTCATTTGTTTTCAGATGATCTGATTTATATCAGAGTACAGTCAACCCACCCCCTCGTTGATGTCATCTGTAATTACGTCGTTTTGTTTTTATGTCATCCAAAAAATAATAAAAAGCATTAAAAAGTAATAGAAGTAGAACTTTAAAAAAAACACTTTCCATGAGTTAGCTTTACTGTAACATTATTCACATTTTGGTGTTTGCTTTTTTAAGTTGCGACAGTCACTCATATATGTTATAATTATTCTACAATACTAGAATTTATGACATTGAAGCAACCAGCAAGTAGTCTTGCAGATGATGAGAGTAAAAAAGTGACTCAAGATTAATAACATTAAATAAAGTAAAAAGTTCAATTTTGAAATACTTAGAGGAAAGGCGATATGCTGTTGATGTTGCAAGAAACTTAGGGTTTCCTGCCACAACTGGAAGAACATATTTAAAAAATGTCAGTACACTATTTGCTTCAAGTAAATTAAGCCATACGAGAAATCGCGTCTCAGATAAAGGAAAGATTAGTAATGCATGGGCTATTGACCAAAATTAGAATTGTATGCCATAAAGCCAGGCTCTGTTAATGGAGAAAGCTAATACTTTGTATGGGTAATTACATGAAGAGGCAGGATCCATTGCTGCAAGTAAAGGTTGGTTTGACCATTTTAGACAAAGAAATAATCTACATAACATTGAAATAACAGATAAGGCCACTAGTGCAAATCACCAAGCTGCTTTGGAATTTCCAGACTAGTTAAAAGAGATCACAGAAATTGGTGGATATTTTCCTGAATTAGTTTTCAAGGAGATGAAACGGATGCTGTCATGTATGTTTATTTCTTGTGTGGACTGCTCCTGGACTTAATGCCTCAAAAAATTGCCTTATGCTGTTACTTGGTGGTAATGTGGCAGGATGTACCAATGCTAGTGTACCATTCAGAAATGCCATGGGCTATGAAAGGATTCTTGAAGCTACATTTATCAGTTATTTGTTGTTCCAGTCACAAAGCTTTGGTGAAAAATGATGTTTTTCAAGATTGGTTCATCTCCTACTTTTTCCCAGCAGTGGAGAAATACTGCATTGAAAAAAACTGGAAAAAAAAGCTTTACTTCTCTAGATAATGCTCCTAGTCACCCTTCTCATTTGGACAATTTAGAGACTTGCATTCCGGTCCAGACTGTGTTTTTTGCCTCCGAACACAACATCGCTCATTCAGCCAATGAATCAGGTGGTCATAGTGATGTTTAAGGCGTACTATCTATGTCATGTCTTTTGTCAGCAACTTACTGAGACATCTGCTAATGAGAACCTTACAATCAGGGCCTTCTGGCACTCGTATAATATCATGAAGGCAATCGACAACATCGACCATGCCTCGAAAGAAGTCACTGCTACTTGTATGAACAGAGTTTGGAGGAACATATGGCTGGAATGAATTTATGACTTCGAGAGTTTTGAAGAAGAAATACCAGCAGTTTGTGGAGAAATTGTCAACCTTGCCCATAATGCATGACTGGAGGGAATGGAAGATGAAGATGTGGAGGAGTTGCTTCAATCACATGGGGAATTCAGTTCAATGAAGACTTAAAAAAATTAGATCAGCAACGATTTATAGAAGATGAGCAGCCAGAGGAAGTAAACCAAGTTGTTTAGTCGACATGCAAGAACATGTGAGGGGCTTTTTGCAAAATTAATTAAGGTCTTGCTATCTTTGCCAAGAACGACTCTGATTGCAAGTAGAGCAGTACCATCAGAAGGCAAGTTGAAGCAGCTCTATCAGGCTACCAGGAATTTTATAAATAGAAAAAAGAAGCAGGCAAGACAGTTGTGATTAACTCAGTTTTTTTAGAAGAAGGAAAACAAAGTAGATGATCCAGCTCCACCTACTCTCCCAATAAACCATTGCCAGCTTAATTTTTTATTTAATGTTGTACTTTGGTACATATTCTTTACTTTGTTATTATATTATACTTCATAATATACTTTGCCTTTTTTATAGATAGGACATTAAATTATCCTGCTGGAACACAACTCTGACTTATTGGGTCCCCAATAACATTGCAGTTCTCAATAATGTAACTAGGATGTCAATGGGGGGTCAACTGTATTTGATAATTATCTTTTTATAATTAATAATGGAAAATCTAAATTTATTATACCAAGACAAGATCTTTTTTTTCTTGTTCATTGAGCCAATAAAGATAATTCTGGACATTATTTTATTTATTTATGAACATGTTTAATACTTTTGAATTTTAAAAGGTTACTATCTTACTTTTTTTCAAGATGAAACATTTTAAGCTCAGAACTGCTTCTTAAATTTGGCAAGCAAAATGTTTGTTTGTAAGATTTTTTTACCTTTTTTGTCAACAGCTAAATTATTAAACATATTGTTGGTGTAAATGTGCTCAATTATCATTCGTGACCATTTTTAGACAGAAAATATTCATATTGATAGTGAAACTACTTATTGTGCTTATAGTCAGATATTGACAAGCAGACAGAAGGTTCTTCACGATCTGTGGTAACAACTTTACCTGTGACTAAGTGGATTATAAGCCCTGACCTTGTCGCAACTCAGTTAGAATGTAGTGATTTTCAAATACAGATGTTGACTAAAGCTTACCCCTTATGGGAAGGTTATATTACAATACTTACCTAAGTGAAATTCTCTTAGTCTGCATGAAACTTTTTTATTCTGAAGAAAGTGATGTCTGTATTGATAAAACAAGGGGAGATGTGTTTCCAGCATGGAAACAACTTGTCACCTAAAGTACATATTGTAGGAACTTCTGTTAGATCCATAAAGAGGATAATTCATACAGATTTATATCTACAAGAGTTGTGTTCACAAGACCAAGTCTCTAAAGCTGAAGAAACATTATCTAGCATATAACAAATGGAAGTATGTTATCATGTTAGATGAAGCACATGTCAACTGAGGCTGTACAAACATTATCTAGCATATAACAAATGGAAGTATGTCATCATGTTAGATGAAGCACGTGGCAACTGAGGCTGTAGAAACATTATCTAGCATATAACAAATGGAAGTATGTTATCATGTTGGATGAAGCACGTGTCAACTGAGGCTGTACAAACATTATCTAGCATATAACAAATGGAAGTATGTTATCATGTTAGATGAAGCACGTGTCTACTGAGGCTGTACAAACATTATCTAGCATATAACAAATGGAAGTATGTTATCATGTTAGATGAAGCACGTGTCTACTGAGGCTGTAGAAACATTATCTAGCTTGTGACACATGTAAGTATGTCATCATGTTAGATGAAGCACGTGTCTACTGAGGCTGTAGAAACATTATCTAGCTTGTGACACATGTAAGTATGTCATGTTAGATGAAGCACATGTCTACTGAGGCTGTACAAACATTATCTAGCTTGTGACACATGTAAGTATGTCATCATGTTAGATGAAGCACGTGTCAACTGAGGCTGTACAAACATTATCTAGCATGTGACACATGTATGTATGTATTTCAAGAAATTTATTATCGTTCTTGTAGATATAATTTTAAAATATGACACACAGAATTCTGCTAAAGTTTCCTCGATGATTGTGGAGTATAGATATAATGATAACCTGGAGAGTCAAGAAAAGTGAGCTCTGCTTACTATCAAGCTAACACCACTATACTGCAAGTTAAAAAAACAGCTTTGTGTAGACTGGATGCCAATGAAGTACTGAGCAGCTGCTAGCTCTTTTTCAAGATGTAAGTACAAAGAGTAATTCATGCTAAGCTATTTGCAGACAAACTGGTTAAATTACCAGATGCACCTCTTGCAGGTTTCTGTGACTTTGGGCTGCTCAAATGGGTCTGCAAAATTTACTAACTATTCACAATTGATGGACTGTGGAAAGAGGAGTTTGACATCAGTGTATTGCATAAAGGTCTCTGTCAGTGAAAACAGTGTTCCAGGGCAACAGTCGTTTAACATCATCACTATCAGAAGTGAAAAAGGAGACTGCAAGACCTAGGTTATTGTCCTGGTATTACTACCATAGATAGTGAACACCTACACCAACCCAAAACTGTAAAAGAATGAGACTGTTTAGAAACTATAGAAACCACCAAAGTAAATTATCTCTCACTAAACCATTATAACGGCCCCTGCAATATTAACTGTATTTGGCAAGGTCGTTTCACTGCCCATACACTTGACCAGCTTTTTCCTTTAACCATATCCTGCTTGACACCGTTTCCATTACAGTTAATTCTTATCTTTTGTCTTTGAATGATATATAAACCTTGTATTGCTTAGTACTGATTATCACTGAAGAAGACAGACCAATGTTCTGTTGAAACATGTAGTATATTCCATCATCAATAAAACTTTTCCTTGTACATATAAATTGTTGTTTGCATACCCATGATTATATTAACTTAATCTGTTTCCATACATTGTACTCAAGTGAACATCTGTCTGTAACTTGTAACATTGTGGTTGCAGAATGTTTCTCAGTACTGTGTTTTGATGTGTCTGTTACGTTTCCATAAGGTATACTATGGCACATATCTGGGCATGCCCACCCAGTGAAGGAGATGACTACATCTTTCACTGCCATCCGCCAGAACAAAAAATTCCCAAACCAAAGAGATTACAGGAGTGGTATAGAAAGATGCTAGACAAAGCAATTATTGAAAGAGTGGTTCTTGATTACAAGGTAAGATTTAATTTTTTTAAGTGGAACAGGTTTATAGTTAAATTACAACAAATTTTATTAAACATTTAACTATTTTTGCAAACCTTGTTGTGACATATTGAAGAAAAGAAACACACAACTTCTGTTCAGAAACTTGAACTTCAAGAGTGTAAAACTCCACTTTTACAGATTACAGATCTAAGGTTCTATATAATGTAATTCCAAGAATACAACTAGGTTAAAATTCCATAAGTAAGATGAATAAAAAATATATTAACTTAAATCTTTACAGTAAAGCTTGGAGATCTGAATCTCTCAGTCTATCAGTGTCTGTCTCAATAGTATGTCTACTAAACTCTGCTAAGATAACTAGTTTTACTAACTATTTATTTTGTTTATTCTGTGCTGAATAGTATTTCAAGGAATACAACTTTTTCTAAATGGTTGTGTGTCTAAACCTACAACTTGGCAGTACTGCACTAGAGGGCTTGCTTTGTGGAAAATATAGTAACATTTTTTTTCTTGGATGCTGCCAAACATCAGTAGATTTCTTCTCTCAGAAGATATCAAGAGAGTATAATGCTTATTTTTTATTTCAACATAGATTTTAGAATTGTGTTATATAGTAATGTATTTTGGAATATTAGTGTGCTGTAGAATATGGAATGATGTTTTCTTTCTTGGATTAGAGTATAGAACCATCAATGTAATTCAAATAGCTAGTATGTAGTATTTTTAGTGACTTAGCTGTACTTGTCTTACAGCCCGTATGGTTTTTTTTCAGGATATCTTGAAACAGGCCACTGAGGATAATATAAAAAGTGTAGCAGAACTTCCTTATTTTGAAGGAGACTTTTGGCCTAATGTCATGGAAGACTGCATCAAGGAGCTGGAACAAGAAGAAGAAGATAAACGGAAAGCTGCTGAGGCATCAGTAGCATCTGGTGGAGATGATGAAGGAGAGGCTGAGGGTGCTCAGGATGTAAGTATAATTTTTAAGTTATATATCTATGAATTGTTCACTTGCGTTACTGAATTCAGCTTAGCTCATACTCGTTCTTCATTGGAGGTAGTTGTCTGTTTGGAGTATTATTGTTTACTACAGCTCTGGATATAACAGTTCACTGCTATAAATATTAATGCATTGGTCACTGGTAATGAACATTCCTCAAAGAATTAGATTGTTAAAGATTAGAAACACCAAACAATTTGTAATGAAACTATACTGTTTTAAACATAAACTCATTTGGAATAGTCTCTAAATAAAACTAAGTTACTAAGAATGTAATACTATCTGGAACAATTTGTAATGAAACTATACTGTTTTAAACATAAATTCATTTGGAATAGTCTCTAAATGAAACTAAGATACTAAGAATGTAATACTATCTGGAACAATTTGTAATGAAACTATACTGTTTTAAACATAAATTCATTTGGAATAGTCTCTAAATAAAACTTAAGTTACTAAGAATGTAATACTATCTGGAACAATTTGTAATGAAACTATACTGTTTTAAACATAACTCATTTGGAATAGTCTCTAAATAAAACTTAAGTTACCAAGAATGTAATATCGTCTGGAAAAATTTGTAATGAAACTATACTGTTTTAAACATAAACTCATTTGGAATAGTCTCTAAATGAAACTAAGTTACTAAGAATGTAATATCATCTGGAACAATTTGTAATGAAACTATACTGTTTTAAATATAAACTCATTTGTAATAACATTTGAAGTAATTTGTAAATTAAATTGTTAAAGGTGTAATAACATTTGAAGTACTCTGTAAATTAATTTGATAAAGATGTAATAACATTTGAAGTAATATGTAAATCTAAATTGTTAAAAACTTAATGTTTAGAACAAACTGTAAACGAAACTAAAATTATTTAAAATATAATAATGTGGAAAAATGAGTTAATTTAGCTATATTTAAATACATAATAATGTATGCAAACTTAGAAATTTATTATTGGTAAAAATACAGAAGTATCCAACATTCTGTAATTGAGTGTAAGGTATAGCTTAATTTTTTCACATGCTTAAATTTGTTTTATTTCAACTTTTGTTTGCTGGCTTCTTATTAGATAAACATTTTCAAAGCAATCAATTTGTAAATTGTCTATATTATCTGTAGTAGTATATAGTTTTTCCTAATGTATCCTGTTAGTAACTAGCAAATTAAAAAAATCATTTATGCTCTGTCAGTACTTTTAGCTATAATTTGTTGTCAATACCTTTTTCTGTAAGAACACGAGTGAGACCACTGCTTTAAAACTCTGGTTAAATTAACCTATGAACTTTGTTAGACCAACAGGTAGTTATTTCTAAAACAAAAAAGTAAAGTGTATTATGTTCTTTGCTGACAGTTGTTGATTTTACTTTAGTTGCTTATGTTATGTTTAGCACAGAAATAAGGCAATATGTTTACTAATTAGTGTTATATTTGGTAAAATATCATTAATCAAAATAAGAAATGGTTATAAATCTAGCCCACCTAATTTGAAGTTAAAAAAAAGGTTTTATTCTAGATAACTCTTACAATCATGTAGTTTTTCAAAATATTCTTGGCATTTAGTTTTGTATTATAGCTAAGGTAGTGGTTTTGATTCACTTTACAGCAAGGGAAAAAAAAGGGGCAAAAGAGTGGACGAAACAAGAAAATCAGCAAGAACAAAAACACACAGAGGAAGAGCAACAAAAAGTCAAATGTTCCAAACACAGGAAATGATCTGTCTGCTAAAATTTATGCCACAATGGAAAAACACAAAGAGGTAAGAGCATTCATTGGTAGAGAACTTTCAGCATTTAGGAAAACAGTGTTTACAATCTCACTAATTCAGTATTAGGCCAGTCTTATGAAGTGTTGACCATTCTTCATATTGGAGTGTTCACTTGAAGTTTTTATAATACATTTAGGGTATGTATATCTGTGTATTTATAGAAATATGTGACTGTTGATTCAGATTTTTATTTTGCTTTCTATCTCTCAGGTATTCTTTGTAATTCGTCTTCATTCGGCTCAGGCAGCTGCCAGCTTGGCTCCTATTCAAGATCCCGACCCTCCTATTAACTGTGACTTGATGGATGGAAGGGATGCCTTTCTGACATCGGCACGAGAAAAGCATCATGAATTCTCATCATTACGACGTGCAAAGTACTCAACTATGGCCATGTTGTATGAGTTACACAATCAAGGGCAAGATCGATTTGTATACACGTGTAACAGATGTAAAGCTAATGTGGAGACCAGATTCCACTGCACAGTGTGTGATGTATGTATTTGTTTTTTTTTTCTCCCTCATTTTACAGATTATTACTGGATAAGGAAAATTTTTCCAAACTTGTAAAAGTAAAAGATAAAAATTGTTTTGTGAATTTGATATTGAGTGTGAACTTGTGTTTTTCATCTTTTTTTTCTCCTAACCCTAAATAGGTTTATGAGATTAATGTTGGTATTTTCTGTGGACAGGACTTTGATCTATGTGTACTGTGTTACAAAAAAGAAAATCATGTGCACAAGATGGAAAAGCTTGGTTTTGACTTGGATGATGGCTCTGCTGCTTCAGATCAGAAACGGGCCAATCCCCAAGAATCACGTTGGCTGTCCATCCAGAGATGCATCCAATCGCTTCTTCATGCTTGTCAATGTCGAGATGCCAACTGTAGACTGGCAAGCTGTCAAAAGATGAAACGTATTGTCCAGCACTCCAAAAGCTGCAAGCGTAAGAATGGTGGCTGTCCTGTCTGCAAACAGCTTATTACACTGTGTTATTACCATGCTAGACATTGTCAGGTTTGTGAACGTTATAAAATAGTGTTCTAGTTAGTATGTAGAGACTAATGGTATGTAGGATTCTATAACTGCACAAATAAATTATAAAGCAGAGCTTATATTAGGGAAGAATGTTTGTTTTCTATACACTTATCTCACTAGCTTAGTTCTTCATAAAATAAAGAAGCTTCATCCATTATACTCTATGTTAAAAACAGATTGCTTTTAAAACCTGAAAAAGATTCATAAAGATAGGTTATTTACAACTCAAACTGCTGTTGAAACTTGAATGTTTAGTTTGTTTACAAGCTGATCAGGAGTAAGATGGTGTCACACCAGATTTTTTTATAACTATTTATAAAAGAGAATTTTTATATATTTCAAGTATACAAAAGTGTAATATAATGAATTTAGAGTAAAATTTAAAATAAAGAACCCAAATTTTACAATTTTATCAGCATAAGAAAACTTGATTTCTCTGGTCTGTTCATTATGGTTTTCAACACCTTCCTTGCAGTTACTGAACATAACACTAAATAAAGCATAAGATCTTTTACTATAGTTGTTGTTAGTCCTCAGAGTTCATCAGTAAGTTAAACAACTTGTTTACAAGCAGGTGCATTCTCCATAATGTTTTTAAATAAAGTAGTTGATTCTTGTTGAGTCACTGTGTTGCTAATATTTTAGTAGATAAAAGTGTTAAATTTAATTCATTGTTTTATGATTGTGTTATTCTGTTTAATGGTTCAAGAACATTTAGATGTTAATTATCTGTTTACCAGTAAAACCGAATCAGGAACTGTAAGCTTTTCTCGCTGTGTAATGTTTTTTATAGTGTGTTATAACGTAGAATTGTTTTTTGTTTTTTAGGAAGAAAAGTGCTTGGTACCGTTCTGTCTAAACATCAAACACAAACTTCGCCAACAACAACTCCAACAGAGAGTACAGCAAGCTCAAATTCTCCGTCGCCGAATAGCTAGTATGGCAACCATGCAGAACCAACAAGTGGCTGGGCAGGATTCCCAGTCTAATTCAATGTCTAGTGAGCCGTCTTCATCAGAAGCCTCAGCAGTGATCCATGTTGGACCTACAACAACAGGTCCTCCAGCGGGTGCTCTCCAAGCTGTCCAAGCAGTACAAGCTGCAGCAGCAAGGCAGCAAGCTCCTCACCTAGTTGGTGCTTACCAGAAGGGAAGCCCTGCGAGTCCATCTCCAACTAATGGAAATACTTTAATGGCCACTGCATGGACACAGCCTCACACAGTACAGATGGTCCAAAGCACGGGCGACAGACTGGTTGGATTGAACAGCCCCAACCGATGGGACGGACCACAACCAAACTTTGTCCAACAAGCTTCACCACAGCAGACTCAGATGACTGAGCAGCAGTTGGGTATAAGACAGCCAGCACAGATGATGGGTCCAGCACCTAGAAACCCAGCAGTTACTATGGGTCCCCCACCTGTAGGGCCAGGCATGCAGCGTGCAGTTCAGTTGCCTCAAGGTCTGCCTCAGTTGCTACAGATGTTACACTTACCTGCATCCCCTCAGCAACATCAAAAAGTATTGCAGATGTTAAAGTCAAACCCTCAGCTCATGGCTTATTTCATTAAACATAGGAATGCACAGCAGCAGCAGCAAATGGTGGTCTCAACCCAAACTAATATGGGGAGTGCTTTACAGCCAGGGATTTCTGGGCAGCTATCCCCTCAGCAACAGCAACAAATGATGATTTCAAACCAATCTAGTATGGGAAGTGCTGTACAATCAGGAATTCCTGGGCAGTTATCACCTCGGCAACAGCAGCAAATGATGATTTCAACCCAAGCTGATATTGGCAGTGCTGCACAGCCAGGAATTTCTAGACAGCTGTCACCCCAACAACAGCAGCAACATATGATGATGTCAACCCAAGCTAGTATGGGGAGTGGTTCTCAGCCAGGTATTTCTGGGCAGTTATCACCACAGCAGCAACAGCATATGATGGTCTCAACTCAAACTAATCTTGGGAGTGCTGCACAGCCAGGAATTTCTAGACAGCTGTCACCCAACAACAGCAGCAGCAACATATGATGATGTCAACCCAAGCTAGTATGGGGAGTGGTTCTCAGCCAGGGATTCCTGGGCAGGTATCATCTCAACAGCAGCAACAAATGGTAGTCTCAAACCAAGCTAATATGGGAAACGATGTTCAGCCAGGAATTCCTGTACAATTACCATCTCAACAGCAGCAACAGTGGTTGCAAAAACAGCACTTGTTAGCAATGCAACGGCAACAGCCCCCACTGTATACCCCACGATCACGTCCACCTAATTCCATGAACTATAATCCCCACCAACAAAATTTTCACACTGATGGTGGGGGCCAGTATCCACTTTATCAACAGCAGCAGCTCTTATTGCAGTCTCAACAATTGAAACAGCAAATTGTATCCCCTAATCACCCACCCATGAGTCCTCAACAAAGCCTGATGGGACATCCTCAGGCAGTGGCACCTGTGGCTTCACCTCAACAGTTGCTACGCTCTCCCCCATCTGTAAGATCACCACAGCCCATTCCATCTCCTCACCAGCAGCATGCTTTGTCTCCTCATCACTCTTCACAGACCCATTCTCCTCGCCCAACTCTCAATGTGGCTGTGAGTGCTTCCCACGCATATGGAGTTCCAGATCAGATAATATCCACGAACGATATGATGCTCACCCAACTATCGAGTGCCAGCTCGTCCCATTCCAGCATGGTGAGCCAGAACACTGGGAACCCAGAACCAAGCCTCTCTAGAGATGAGCTAACTCCTCAGGAGCAGCTGAATAGGTTTGTTGAAAACTTGTAACCCTCGATATAGAATAAACAAGAACTTATTGTGGACTAGCCATGACTGTGAATATTTTCTGACAGAGAATGACTTGAATTTGCAGTTTTTAATATTTTGTACTTCAAAAAAAAAGATAAATGTTATCAGAAGAGGTTGACACAGTATTCTAGTTAATCAGTTTGATTGTTTCTTTGAGTTAAGTATAAAAAAACAACTATAGTTCATATATTTATACATACATACATACGCACACAGAGATGTGTGTCAATAGTTTACAGGTGTAACAAAATGTTGATGTTGAATATAATATTAACAATAACAAAATGTTGAAATTTTTATTATTGTGTTCTCATCATGATCATGGTTAAATTGTGCATGTGTCAGTTCTATTGAAACCCTTGTTTTGATCTCTCACATTATGCACACAGTTTGAAAACAGGCTCATAAATGTCATTGAGGCTGGACCCCAAGTGTAAATTTTCTGATAATCAAGAGAACTGGTAAAACTTCTTTCCACTACATGTGCAGACCACAACTTCCTGTGATTTATAAAAAATAATCTTTGTTTTTTGTTATTAAACACTAAAAATGGATGGTGAGAGTTAAACATTTTGTGCAGTGTATTTTATAGAAACGAGTTGAAAGGAGAAAATATGCTCCACAGAATCTCATTTTATGTTACTTGAGTTCATGAACTTGTAGTATTGTATGTTGATTGAATGAGTTCCAGTGGGGAACATACCTTGTACATCTCTACTTTTTACGCTCAGTTGGTTCGTAGGTCACAAGTAGTTGATTGAAAGAGATATTGTAAATACTGTATACATTTTAAAACTACAAGTTTGAATAAAAACAAATAGTAAAATAAAATCAGTTTGTTTCTTACTTAAAGTACTTGTAATAATTGTTGATTATACTTCTGTAGTTTTGTCCATAATAATGTCGTGTGTTTACAGAATTCATTTTGGGTGGTACCAGACAATATAAAACTGGAGAGATTGCTGTTTATCGTAGACCAATGATTTTCAATTGGTGGGCTATGTGACATGCAGTTATGGGCTGCTGAGGGCCAGGACACTTGTTACTGCCCTGAACTAGAGTCGTAAACTGTATATGTTAACCATCTCTGTTATTTCTTCTAAGTAAGTGGGTCTTGAGGTGCAAAGTCTGAGAAATCCTGTTCTAGATAACAGTAAGGTGTGGCCTAGGGGTTAAGTGTGCCAGACTGTGGATCCAATGGTTCATGACCTGTTACTGCAGAAAAACAATATACTCCACATTTTGGAGCTGTAGCTTATTATAAGAGCAATGGTAAAATCTCACTAGTTTGTTAGAGTAGCCTAAGATTTGGTGGTAGATGCTGTTTAGTCTGTTCAAAAGTAGGGATAGCTAGCTTAGCTATTGTTTGGCTCTTTTTGAATATCTGAAACAGACTACAATATAGATATATAGAGAAAACCAGAAATGCAAAGCAATATTCACACAAACCACAACATAAAAGGGTGAGAATAACAAAACAGTACTAACTTTGTTTGTTTGTATTTAACATGTTGCATATTCTTTATTTTTATGTACGGGTAGTCGTGGCACCAAAATTTTTCGTCTATTCACTGTGGTATATTCAGGTAAAACTGAATCAACCATAGAGCAGTTAGATAGGCCCACTTAGTAATTTGAGGTTGAACAAGAAATGTATTATGAAGTCACTGTTGGTCAATCCCATTGAAACATAAGGAAGATCATAACTGCATTGTATGGCATTACTGTCGTCTGTATCCGTGCACAATGTGCTTATTGCAAGAACTACTTCCACAGATAGCAGATATTGTCCACTCGAGAATGCTGTCTTCTGTATCCGTGCACAATGTGCTTATTGAAAGAACTACTTCCACAGATGGCAGATATTGTCCACTTGAGAATGCTGTATTCTGTATCCGTGCACAATGTGCTTATTGCAACAACTACTTCCACAGATAGCAGATATTGTCCACTCGAAAATGCTGTCTTCTGTATACTTGCACAATGTGCTTATTGCAAGAACTACTCCCACAGATAGCAGATATTGTCCACTCGAAAATGCTGTCTTCTGTATACTTGCACAATGTGCTTATTGCAACAACTACTTCCACAGATAGCAGATATTGTCCACTCGAAAATGCTGTCTTCTGTATACTT